GTGTTATTTATTTGTTCATTCAGTTTCTTGAATGCTACTGCTAAACCTACTATACCTGAAAAATAAAACACTGTTTGTTTTATTTGTATATTATGTGTATTTGTAATGCGAAAACTTAAAAAAAAAAAAAAGAGTAAAACCATCATGACAAAGAATCGTGATGAAATCGTGAATTGTGATTTTCCTGAAAAAAAACATATTATATTTTTGCCATATCACCCATCCCTAATTTTAAGCATAAACTAACTTACTTTTGATCAGTTTCTCATAAAGCAAGAGTTCATATGCTCAGTTTGCATCTCAAGAAATATATCTTGATTTAAAGATGTTTAGATATTTGTATCGGAAAACAAGGCAAAAATACTGACACAGAAAGATATTAATTTTTAGCAATGCATGCAACATTTAATGCCATGGCTTTAGGAATTTAAGACTTTCGGCACAATATGCAAGATTTTTTGACTTGTGTACTTGCATTATCCCAAATGTTTCAAAGAATGTTTAAATCCAGAGAAATAAGCAATTTTAACTAGCGTCATTGTGTCACCTGCCAATGACGTCATACACCCTCGATTTCCGGTTTTGTTTTGTAGAAAACATGGAAACACCAAATACGCTTTAATATGTTATGCGTTTTATTATACAGGTGACGACCGCACAGAGTAGCATTATAACATAACTTTCAAATGTATCTAGTATGATAAAACAGCGCTGCTTTACCCCACATACGCACGACCGGAAGGAGCAGAAGCTGTCAACTGTGGCATAACAAAAGCCCCGCTGCTTTCGAGCCGTGTGTCGTGCTCGTCTCTCATTAGCAATTGCTTCAGCAGCCTCGTTTTGCTTCGACAGCTTTCAGTCTCACCCTGCTTCATACTACGACGTTAATAAATCTTTAATACATTAGATCATCCATGAACATGATTTCTGCGGCTGCCCAAGTCCCGTCGGATTGCATCGGCTGTGGGTATAAAGACGACAACTCCCATGATTCCACACTCAGTCACGGCGTCATCAAACTACGCCTTTGTTTCTTTGTTTGTTTTGAAAATGCGCCCTCTAACGGCGAAAACTTACATATTGTGCCTTTAAAAAAACCCTGATCTATATAATATTGTGACAACAGCAGTATATAGTGGAGATCAAAATTAGAGAACAGCTTACAATGTAAGACAACATGTATGTAGGGATGTAATGATGCACCCCGAGCCAGCTGAAAATTGCTAAAAATGTGTGACAATTCAAGTCGGTTGAGATATTAAACGAATCGCGATACAGTTGGGGGTGGAAGTTTATATGAATGCATCTCTGAGGGGAACCTGACTATTTCCAGAGAAGTTTAGATGGTATTTTCTTTTCATCTTGCCTCTGTATAATGCCTATTAAAATAGTATTTATAAGCAGCACTGCTTTGTTTACAGCAGTAACCAAGGAAACACTATATTGCTGCTGTTCCATGAGTGCCACCTGCTGTCAGAGAGTGAATTTGCACTCTCATTCAGCCAGTCTGCTTTTAAAGTAGTTTTATTTAGCATAATTTCACAAAGCTAATATCAGACCATTCTGTTTTTGCTTCAAATGCCCACTCTGCAGTGACCAAGCCTCTCATCAGCAGAAAGAACAACAAATTTACAACAACAAAAAAAAGTTTTCAACGAAATAAATGTTTTTGCTGAAGCACCTTGGTTGTTTTGTAAAACATGCAGAACTCATGGCTAATATTCCTTAAAATTTTTAACGATGAAGATTAGGAATATTTAATACAAATCAAGTGTTTATAAATTGTTCTCCAATTTTGATCTCCATTAATATTAAATATATATTAAATACACACACACACACACACACACACACACACACATATCTGTATACCTGTACGTTGTAAATAAAATGCTGTACAACTGTATAAATATATACACACACACACACACACACACACACACACACACCCCTGTATAATAAAATAAAGCGTTCTACGAGTACACACAAGACAACAAACATTAAATAAACAAAATACAATTACAACAAAACCAAAGACTTCATTTAATTGCCTGAACAAAAGCATTGCATATTGTTCAGCCTGAATGAGCCTCATGGAATCAAGTTCCACAACTTTTCAACAGAGAACATTGTATTGTGAAGTTAACCCTATCCTAACCCAGGTGTCACATAAAGAGACAGCAGTTGATATGGCACAAAACTAGATTTAGGTTAGTTTACAACAACAAACAAACAAGCAAGTGCGCACCGGTACTACTGTATAACATCGCGCCAAGTGAGTCACGGACCTCAGGCTGTACAAAAAACAGAGTGGAATATATTGCTAATTCTTATATGCTGCAACTCTTGTGGGTTTCATAAATGCAAAGTGTCAGTGTCATTACAAACTCTCTGGAGCACGCAGGAATTCTTACAAAGCACAAATGTTGGCCTTCAGTCATTTTTGACATTCGTTCACTTTGATACATACAATTAAATACTTCACTTGTGGAAGGACGAGTGCAAAACCAGGCAACTTAAACAAGCAAGTTCACTTTCAATTCAATCACATATGAAAAGTGAAAGCATTTTAATCAGGTTTAAATTTAGCATCCTAAACAACTTACCTAGTACCACATTAGAATTTCTAGTAGCATATAAATCAATAAACTCTCTTACCTTTAAATGCTTAAATCAAAAGTTAGTGAAATGATACACTCTTCATAACATCTCAGGTCTGATTCTCAGAGTGCTAAGCAACTGCAAGCACTTCCTTTAAAACAGGCTTGTAACAAAACACATATGGTATCAATGAGGACAGACTCAATACTAAGGGAACAAGCATGATGTTATGCTCATGTGACATCCTTGTTTAAATTAATGATTTCCCTGTTTTACCTCATCTAATGACGTCACGTAACATGGCATTTAGATTGCTTCTTTCTTGGTTCCCAGTTCAACTTCTCAGTGTGTTGAAATGGTAAACATCAAATTTGCAGAACAACATGTTGCATGATCTGAAGCATCATTAATGTTAAGAGTTTAAGAAAACACTGATTGTAACGTAAAATGCATTGCTAAAGAGAGGTTAATTCAATGCTGTAACTCATTTTTTAGAGTGACGTCTTGTTACTCTTGCCGTGTGGAAAAACAGCACGTGACTTCAGGTAGTTTTCACATTCAAACCCCGTAATAAGCCCCCTGTGTGCCAACAAATTGCTTCAAGCAGGCTTCAAACAAATGTTGCAGCACTTCCTGAACATTTTACGGTCACACAGCATGTAACGCAGACAATAATCTCTCACACATCACTTCCTGGAAACAATCAAAGTCATGTCTTGTTCACGTTAACGCTTAACAAATGGCAGGGCTACTGCCTGAAAGAGCTCAAATGAATCAGTTGACAGCATGTCGCTTTTGCTGTTGTTTGCACATAAAAGCCTGTGATATGTGGAACAGATGTGAGACGTTCAACACATATACATCTTTTCAGGTACAACATGCCAGTCATGACACATATTAACAGCTCTCACAGATCGAGTGGATGGATCTCACAAAACCTGCCAAAGCTATATTTCACTCCTTAAATAATAATAATAATAAATATATATATATACACACAATAACAAATATAATAATAATAATATTATATTTAAGTAATGTTTAAAAACTGCATTAACATCATGCATTAATATTATGATTTGTCTTTAATGAGTACATATTTTTTTAAAGTAATTTAAATTAAAAAAATTATTGTATTAGCCCTTAAATAATGTAATACACTAAAAACGAACTGAGATTCACCAATAAAAATAATGAGAAATCTCAAATGTGAAATGTCCAGATGGATTACAATAATTAGATTTCATAGGGTGAATTATTACATAAAATAATGTAATAATGCAAAAGAAAGAAAGCTTAATTTTTTATTAAATTTTTTTGGTGCGTGAAATGTGATCTAGCCAGGTTTTTGTAAGATTTACCCTAGTTAAACTATCACTATCACTACTTTTAAAACAACATTTATTGTGTGCTTCTGCAGGTTTGGTGGTGTTAAATACAGGTTTATTGATTCAGCAAGGAAGGTGCAAATCTGTATCCTTGTTATGAAGCACATGCATACTGAATTGCTGATTAGTGGTCAACCAATATATCGCCAAGGCCGATATATCGGCCGATATTTGGCATTTTTTTAAAACAGACAGAGGCAAAAGAGTGCTTAAACTAATGCAAGCAAAGCACAAACCACAAAACAACACTAAGCAGAACAACTATCATACTAATGGCATGTAATATTACAGAAAAAAAGTTAAGCATAAGGAAGAAGAGAGCCCTTCCTTACTAAAAATGGCTGTAGAAGTGCTATAAATAGAGTGGTATTTATTTATATGGTACTCCAATGTATATGCAAGAACGACACTACTATGATATAGTAAATTGATACATATGATGATTGCATATTCACATATCATGGTATTCACAAAGCACTAATTCGTGAAAAAATAAGGTAGGCTACAAGTCCAAAAGAACAAAGTAAAAACATGATACATCTTCTCATTAATCTATGACCTGAGAAAAATACATTTTAGAGACACAAAATTCAGAAAACGTGACTCTTATTTGATGGCAACATACATTTAGCCTACATATAAATATATAGGTAGCCTACATTATGTTTTTAAGACTCCGGTTTGTGAAAACAGTTCCAAGTGTAAAATAATAATAATAAAATAAAAAATAAACCTTAATCAGTCCATCCAAGTAAGTAGAAACCATGTCATCACTGTAGCAACTTTATAAGCACATCACATCAGCACAAGTTCACATTAACGTTAGCTTGTTTCCGTCTCCTTCAAGTTGTGCAACGCTCACTAAAGTACATTTGCCGTTTTAGTAATTAATCGACTGACAGCAAATCTCTGTGATTCAAGTTAATCAAATGAATAATGACCTTGTACGCCAGTTTAGGATCCTTTCAAACCAGTTGTACCTGCTTGTTTATCTCTGCGGTTTTGACTCACCTGCGGCGGCTCGTCAGTCCGGGCATTTACGAATCCTTCTAGAGAGAAGGCACGTCTCATGAATATTGATTAAATGAAGTGACGTTCGACCATTTGATTGGCTAAAAGGCGTTGGCGATTTTTTTTCCTACCACGAAACGTTTTTTTTTTGGTTTTTTTTTGCTTTGTTTACTAACTGCATACGTGTTCATCCAGCATTTGTACACTGATTTAATATTATATAATAACATAATAAAAATACTAATAATATAAAAACGGTTTACTTGAGATTTGATTAAAAAATAAATATTAATTAGGGAATTATTAGCTAATTTTCCCTTCTTGACCTAAGGGGTTTCGAATAAGGTCATCGTGACGTAATTAATATTTATGAGGTAAACATTCTCCATAGTCGTATTCTTAAGTAGCCTAACATTTCCAGGTAAATGCATAGAAGCAAAATGACTACCACAGGGCAGGGCAGGCCTATCCTTTCAGTTTATGGCCCACAAAGACTTTCGAAACAGCGTTCGAAATTATTTTCAGACACTGTTGTAGAGTTTTAGAGAAGCAGGATGTGTTTTTGCAAGGTTATTTTGGCAACAGATCTTTAGCACCTGCACACCAACTTTCACTTTTAAATAGACGCACTCAAAAGCTTTATTCACAGTCTGTAGTAACAAGTTGGTATTTAAAAACATTTAATAAACTTTTCAAAAAAAGAAGTTTCTTCATTCTAAAAAGCTCAAAGTAAAATATCAAAAGATAGACCTACAAATGTAGGCTATGTAAAATAATTTTACAGTGACTAAAGCAGTGTGGGTTGTTTTCCTTTATCCTGTTAGACGTAATATCTAACTCAAGTACAACAAATAAGCAAGATTACTCCGATAACCTGTACAGCTCAAGGTTAAATCGAACGTAAATATTGCAGTTTACGTTAACATAACAGTAGGTGTCGCTAGACACCAGTAGATAGAGATTTTAAAACGTAAAGATGAAACGACTAAAACCATGAATTATCATCATATTAATTTATTAAAGTAGTTAAAGCTGTCGGATAATATCTGATTATGCATATGCATTGAACTCACAGATCAAAAACAACAGTCCATTAGACACAAACTCCTCCTTTGTTCAGCTAGGGCGTAAGTTTGAGTTTGACATTGGTGGGGACACAACAGCAGACAACACCCTCCGCTATAATAGCGCTTACCCCGGTGAAAAAGTCCATCCCCTGTTGTCCTCTCACATCAAAATCCACTGAAGTGTTAGTTTTGGACTGTTTTCACTTGTAAACGGTGCTTGATCAGTGTATATTTCTCTCCTGATTCAGACGAGATGACTTTTTCACTGAAGAAAGCAATATTATGGATAGAGGACGGAGGAACAGTTTGAAGTTAAACATGTCTTATGGATTTGTTTCTTACTAACACAGTTTTTGCTTCACAAGATGTTAACTGAGAGTTGTGTGGATTTACTTGTGGATTACTGTGATGTTTTTATCAGCTGTTTGGACTCTCATTCTGACGGCACCCATTCACTGCAGAGCATCCATTGGTGAGCAAGTGATGTAATGCTACATTTCTCCAAATCTATTTCCATGAACAAACAAACTCATCTACATCTTGGATGGCCTGAGGGTGAGAACATTTTCAGCAAATTTTCATGAGCTACTCTTTTAAAACAAGTTGTGAAGAAAAAAAACTCTCGTGCTTAAATCAAAGCTTTAGAAACATAGTTTACTGCACAAAAAGATAACACCATGTCATAAATGTTTAAAGTACATCTCTCATTTCAGTTTTATTTCATATTTTGAAACCAGTCATTGCAGAACTGTACACTGGGAGCAAGTACCTGGAATCTGATTGTGAGCAACTGCAGTTAAAATACAGACAGGAAACTCATAGAAAACAACTGCATAGTTTGAATACATTAGACAGGGATGCACTAATATTGTGGTTACTTGTAGATCTGATTCGTTTTACTTGTCATAATTTAATTTTCCAGTTCTACAGCACGGGGCCAAGAACACGCCATCGTCCATCCATCATCAAAAATCCTCGTAAGTCACAGTACGATCAGAGCGATGCATACAGTGCAGTTTAACTTTGCAGTAACTACCGGTCAAAATCAACAGCAGATTTATTGCAAGTTAAAAAGAAATAATAAAACAATACTTTAGTGCATGAGTCACATCTAAAGAAATGATTCTTAAAGGTGAGTTTATTACTGTAAATAAGAGTTTATTACTGTAAATTAAAAGTCCAAAATAAAGCCAGCGAATTGAATCTGTGAATCCGATCACATGATGGCATGCTGTTTTGTGATTGGCTGCTTCTCTAAGCATTCAGTTGCTGTAGGAAAACTGGATTTGTGCAGCAACAATGATATTTTTGCGGTCAGCTTTGCACAGGACCGAACGTCTATCTATAACACTGATCTTACAGGGAGAACCAAGCAAAGATCTGCTGAACATAAACCGAGGCAATATGAATAAATATGAAAAGAATACTTACATATATGAAAGTATTTACACTATATAGACTGGCATCACACGTCTACCAGCTAAAGTACCGCGATTACAGCTGCATGCCATTCTAAACAACCCGTCAGGACTTGATGTTACCCCACTATTCACACTTCCAAACCCTTACGATCAATGCAACCCTCATCGTATCAGTACAGACATCCCTACAACTCAAATCTACTTCATTCTACATTGTCTCAGCAGTGATTATATTATTTATTCGGGTACCTCAAACCATCACTAGGCATTCAGTAACTGACCCGAGATCGGTTTCTAGCACGTAACACCTCACAGACAAGGTTCATGGCTTTCTAAAGCAGTAGCGATAGATTGAGGTTGTTACCCACAATTATATATAACAATGGCTATTTTGCATATAACATATTGGCAACTTTGAGTGCGCGTGTCAGAATTTCTCAAAAAAGCCAAAACTATTGAAAAAGATAAAACGTTTGAAATTCAAGCATTCAACAAGCTTTGAGGAGTCAGTTCAAACATCTCTTGAACAATATTCATGAGTGATAAAAGCAATAGTTCATTTTTCAGATTTTCTTCCTCTGTGTTTTCGTCTTGTTTTCCAGTACAATTCTCTCAACATTCTTAAATCAACTTGAGACGCCAATTACTTAAGATAAAAAGTCTTGAAAAATTTATAAAAATTAAGTGAGTTTATGCTTAAAATGAGAAAAAATATCTGACAATAATACTTGATTTTAAGGGTAAACAAGTTGCCAGACATTTTTCTTGTTTTAAACATAGAGTCACTTGATATCAGAAAACAAGACTATCTTTTATCATTTTGCTTCTCAAAGTAAATGCAACTTGATTTATGAATGCTAAGATATTTGTAATGGGAAAACAAGACAAAAATACTAAGGAAGAAAATCAATTTTTTAAATTGAGTCACAATTCACTCACCCTCATGCCGTTCCAAACATTTATGCTGTTATTTTTGCCATGGGATACAAAAAGAGACATTTAGAGGACGCTTTTCTCATGCAATAAATGTAAAAGTATTGTATATGGAAAAGAGCAGCATGAACATTCAGCTAAACGTCTCCGTTTGTGTTTTACACAACATGAGGGTTAGAAAATGTTTCAGTGAACTATTCCTTTAAATTCTAGTTACAAAGCCTGCTTATCCTCTTTGATACAAAAAAACAACATTAATAAAAATACATTTTATACATAATAAAACGGTACAAAATTCATTTTTTTCCTTTGTATTGGCACACAAAGTAGGACTATACAGTCACATCTGCTTTAAACAAAAAACAATGCTATATATCAGTAGTTGTTTTGAATATTAGAAGAGTAGAATAAATGTATCAAATGAAACCACATTCTGAACGATTCTCTAATTGAGTCCATATCAAAAGGAAGAATGTTTTGTTTCCATCATTTCAGTCCGAACGTTTCCAATCATGTGACCAGTGCTCAACCAATCACATTCTTATTCCAGTTGATCCAGGTTCATACAAAAGAAACATAGTGGGACAAAAAGCTCATTTCTACTATTAAAAGGCATAAAATACCACGTTCAGATACAGACCCTGGATATCTATTGGAAGACATTAACGGGAACGTCCATTCGTCACGAGAGAGCTGCAATCACAGATGTCTCCCAACATGCACAGTGTTGCTGACATCTGATGTTGCCGATCAAATCTCATCCATCTGAGCTTGTGAACGGGTCGCAGGGTTCATGACAAACACCGGAGCTGACGGAGCTTGATGCTTTGGGGGTTTGAAGGGGGATGGGAGAGGATAGAAGTGAGGGATTGTGGGAGGAGGATGAATGACAGATCTGGAGCATCCGCTAAAAGGGTTTAGGAGAGAAGTGGTGGTACATCGAGGTCAAGAAAAACAGCTTGCGATCAATCTGCAGAGCTTCGGAAATAAAGCCTCGCAGCAATTATCAGCAGAAACTGCAAGCTGCACGGCCGAAGAAGCAATTTGTTAGTGGATTTCTTTGCGAATGATGCAGAAAAGATGCATCTTGTCTTGCTGTTTGAAGCTCACCTGCGATGAAAGTGGAAAAACATGCGATTACAATAACAGAGGGCGATGCTGTAACACTGAGACCATTTGAAAACCCAGCAAGTTGCTTAAAACGGGCTGAATTGGATATCATTCTATGTGGATCAGTATTGTTTGGGTTATGCCACAAACTTCCGGTGTTTGTTTTCTGGTCAGGAAAAGGATCTCTCTTTCTCTTTCTCACACTTGACTAGATCGGCATCTCTAGAGGTTCTCGCCCGGTTGGTACTGTGGTTCAGTAGAGGTGAAGTAGTCTTCCAGGAAGCTCTGGAGGTATTCGAAGGTGGGCCGCTCTTCGGGCTCCTTGCGCCAGCAGGTCAGCATCAGCTCGTGCAGGGATTCTGGGCACTCGGCGGGACAGGGCATCCTGTAGCCACGCTCCACCTGGTCCAGCACCTCCCGGTTCACCATACCTGTGCGGAGGACAGACGTGAAACAGGGTGGATGTGGGTCAGGTGTCAGATTGTGGTGCAGAAAGTGGCATGGCACATTTTAACCAGGCAAAGGATGTGGGTTGTCAGCAGGGAGGAACAACCGGAAATGTTTTCATGTGCCCTTTGTGGAGGGGCGCTCTTTAAAATGTTGTTTAATACGGCAATGTGACTTGTGTGTTATAAAAAAAAAAAACACCCTCAAAAACATTTTTAAAACATTTGTAGAGATGAAAACCCTGCATTGGAGTTAATGTGAATCATTTGGAAATAATAATAATAATTAATATTTTTAACAATTTATTACATTATGGCCTAAAAATATCCCCCCAATTTTTTTTCTTTCTTTTTTTAACAATATAAATGTCTAAACTCAATGTGTTGGATTTAGTGTGAATAATTATAAGTGAAAATTATTTGAATGTAATGTTTTTGTAAGTTTACAAGTATATATATTTTTTTAGATAAAAACCCTGCATTGGACTCAATGTGAATAATAATAATTTATATATTTTTTTAAATTATTATGTCCTGTGAGTGAATTTTAAAAAATTATTATAATTAATTAATTTATTCCATCTTTTTTAGAATGGAATTTATCATTCTTTTAAAAAAGATGGAATACATTAATTCATTGTTATTATTGGTAAATAAAAAATGTTTTTTTTTGAGGATACACACACATACACAAATATACATATATAAATATTATTGTTGCATAAGTTATAGAATCATTTATTCTATTAAATAATTTTTAATACATTTTCAGTGAAAATAATAATAATAATATTCTATAATATTTAAATTATTCTATAATTATTCTGATTGATATTGAAATATTCAGTTTTTTTTAGAGATGATAAACCCTGCACTGGACTTCAGTGTGAATAATTTAAAATAATAATAATAATAATAATGTTTTAAAATAATGTATAGAATAATGAATGCTTTTAAACTGATTATTACATTTTGAAAAAAATTTATAATGTTCATATACAGTATATATTAATGCTGTCAAACGATTAATCGCGATTAATCCAAACGACCACACGTCAGATTTGATGGTGAAGCGGCCGTAAAGCGCCGCCTCTGGCGCGGTCCACTTGATGGGAAACTTGGCTCCTGTTGTAATAATGATTTAAGAGAGGCCTGTCATCATGATTAAACTGATTCAATTAAGGTCGAACCACATAAACGGCAACAGCATTAGGTCTTGAAAATGGGACAGAGACGTTACGGCCTCAGGAAACAACTCAAGACGTAAAGAAAATGGAGAACAACCACATGCAGGCAGAGAGAGTCACTGTGTTCCTGCTCACCCTGTCTGGCCGTGTATTCGTTGTCCTCTATGAGTCGAGCGAGGCCAAAGTCAGCCACTTTACACACCAGGTTATCACCCACCAGGATGTTGGCAGCCCTGAGGTCCCTGTGCACATAGTTCATTCTTTCCACGTACGCCATTCCAGAGGCGATCTGAGGACAGCACATATATTATATATTACTCCAGAGTATCCACAGAATAGAAACAGATTTATATACATTATGAAGACAATGACAGTGGCACGTGGCCATGAAAAACTGCTGCCACAGTGCTGTTTTTAGTGATGCTCTCTGCAATATTCAACTCTCTAAATATAGTTCCTCTTTCAATGCAGGGCTATATAGTTTTTTTTATTTTTATTTATTTTTGTTTTATTTTAGTCAGTCTTTGATTTATGAAAATGTGTTTTAGTTTAACTTCAGTTACAAAATATAATAGAATTTATAATATTTAATACTTTTATTCACCAAGGATGCATTCAATTTAGTGCTGGTGTGTATACTGTGTACATTTATTATGTATATATAAATACAAACACATGCATATATATATATATATATATATATTTAAGAAAAATATGCTATGTTTATATATTAAATTTATATATAATATAAAATATAATAATATAAATATATAAATGTATGTACATGTAAATATTTTCAAAATATATACTGTATGTGTGTATTTATACAGTGGGTACGGAAAGTATTCAGACCCCCTTAAATGTTTCACTCTTTGTTATATTGCAGCCATTTGCTAAAATAATTTAAGTTAATTTTTTTTCCTCATTAATGTACACACAGCAAATGGCTGCAATATAACAAAGAGTGAAAAATTTAAGGGGGTCTGAATACTTTCCGTACCCACTGTATATACATAATAAATAAACACAGTACACATAGTATGTAAACAAACATTTTTTATTTTGGATGCGATTAATCGCGATTAATCGTTTGACAGCACTAATTCAATTATAAAGGCCGTTCTTTTGAACTTTCTATTCATCAAAGAGTCATGAAGAAAATGCATCAAGGTATGAATACTTTTAATCACCAAGGATGCATTAAATTGGTCAAAGGTGACAGTGATGTCTTCTGTAATGTTACAAAACTTCTATTTCAAATAAATGCTGTTCTTTTGGATCTTTTGGACTTTTTAGTCAACAAAGAATCCAGGAAAAAATCAACAAATAATAATATATTTAAAGTATGTTTTCCACAAAAATATTAAGCAGCACAACTGTTTTCAACATTGATAATAATGAGAAATGTTTCTTGAGCAGCAAATCAGCATATCAGAATGATTTCTGAAGGATCATGTGACGCTGAAGACTGGAGTAATGATGCTGAATATTCAGCTTTGCATCACAGGAATAAATTACATTTTAACATGTATTCAAATAGAAAACAGTTATTTTAAATTGTAATAATATTACATTTTTTTTACTGTATTTTTTATCAAATAAATGCCGCCTTGGTGAGCATGAGATGTCTTTCAAAAACATTTTAAAAAAATCATACCGCCCCCAAACTTTTGATCAGTAATGTACATTTTCTAATATAATGTTTCCAATTTCCATTACTTTTTAAGTATCAAAACTGTTAAAGGTTTATTTTTCTTTGCAGTTTCATTACTAGATACCATATCATAATGCCAGTGTGAAAGTACCTGAGAGGCCATATCCACAAGCTGAGGCAACCGCAGCATTTTCCCCATGTCACCCTTCAGGAAATCCAACAGACTTCCTGTGAGAGCAGAAATCACACCTCACATCTCCAGTCACACTTTTACTGGCAGACCTCACAAGAAAAGCTGATAATATCCAGATTTGAATGCTCTATTTACACATCTTACTGCCAGTTTTTATTTCTTGGACATCTTTAGCCCAGTATGGTTCACTGGATCTCTGTACTGACCTTGTCCCATGTACTCAGTGACGATGTAAATGGGCTCCTCTGAGACGACAGCGTAAAGCTGCACCAGCTTCTCGTGCCGGAGTTTCTTCATCACCTGTGCTTCCTGCAGGAAGGCCTCAGGAGACATAGTGCCAGGCTTCAGAGTCTTGATGGCCACGCGTGTCGTGCCGTTCCAAGTGCCTGATGGGAAAAAGACACTGAAATCATTGTCTGTTATGTGAACGCTTTGCTGTCATCATTACACAGCTGTGGTATTTTGTTGATATTTATCTCACATAGCTTCGGTTGTCAGTGGAAAGAAGTTGAAAGAGGAAGTCTTACCCATCCAGACCTCTCCGAAGCAGCCCTGGCCCAGCTTGACGTCCAGTCTCAGAGAGTCCCGTGGGATCTCCCAGGCATCCCGTGCCAGGCCTTGAGTCTGAGGCTTCAGCACTGGACACACGTCAGTCAGACAGTGACACAGGCCGTCTGCGTGCTCTGTGATGGACACGTACAGAAAGCAGTGTGTTCATGTTTTTTCTGTTAAATATTTATGCAACATAATATTAATGCAACAGTACTTTCAAATCTCTTTTTAGAAAATGGCCTCATTTTGATTCTATATTAATGCCCTAAATTAGATGCTTTTGTTGTTGGCAGCTATAAACAGAATTAAAATTAACAATGACTATTTATCTAGATCAAAAAAGAAAAAAGTTTAAATTAAAATTATTATGATTAATAATAATATATAAAAAAAATTAATAAAATAGATAAATAATACTTATTCAACTTAACAGAATAAATTATTTAATAATACTTATAAATATTATTTAAAATAACATTAAAGGCACAATATGTAATTTTCGCTGGTGGAGGGCGCGTATTCAAAATAAACAAAGAGACAAAGGCGTAGTTTGATGACGCCGTTACTGAGTGTGGAATCATGGGAGTTGTCGTCTTCATCCCCACAGCTGATGCAATCCGACGGGACTTGGGCAGAAATCATGTTCATGAATGAGCTAATGATTGGTTAACGACGTAGTAAGTTTTTGGGTATTTTAATAAAAAAATCTTACATATTGTGCCTTTAACAACAATAATAATTATTTTTTATAAATTAACAATAATAATAAAAACATAATAATGTATGTACCTAATGTATTATTATTATTATTATTATTATAATGCTAATATGAAAAAAATTAGAATGATAATTTTTTGGGATTTTTAATACTAAAAATAAACATCTAACTTATAAATAACTTAATAAATTAACTTATTTACCATATTTATTTCATCTTACATCTTACATGGTTTTAGGCCCTTTTAACACTCTAGAGCAGCATAAGAAGTAATATAATTGCTTTATGCAATTGCTTTATTTATAGTTTTAACTGTCTTCTTATTTTGCAACAACTCAAGTTCCCACTTCCAGAAATAACAGTCTGTATCACTTCCCTTCATAGACATTCAGAAAGGAGCAGGTGTCTGGCAGAAAGTGACTTACGGCGGTAGTGGTTGACCAGCTGCTGTAAAGTACTGAACTGTGTGCGCGACGTGATGTAAAATCCCCCGCTGTCCAGCTTCCTGATCTTGTAATGTTTGACATTTAGGCCCTTGACGTTGTCGTAATCCAGGACAGAAAGACAGTAGGCACCTAGAAAGACACAAAGAACACATTTGAGAGGTGAACTGGATGACATTGACGGCACTAACAAACATTTACCCAGGTTTTAGATTTGAAACTGTCAGACTGGTGTGATGGGTGCCAGATTCTACTCTTTTGTAGCATTTTTTTTTTCCCTTGAGGTCGACTAAACTGAGCAAAAACATGCATTTGGTGCATTTCTTTCTTTCTTTCTGTTGCAGTTGACGGTAGCCATTGACTTCCATACAATTTTTTTCTATACCATGGAAGTCAATGGCTACCATCAACTGTTCTTCTTTTGTGTTCAACAGAAGACAGAAACTGAAATGATGACAGCATTTCTATTTTTGGGTGAACCATCCCTTTAAAAGTCCTTTTATTATGTAGTAGATCAGTGTTTCCCAACCTTTTTTTAGTCGCGGCACCCTTTGGAAATTTTTAACAAACTTGTGGCACCCTACAAAATAAATTTTGTCACAATATTTGAATTTCTAACTTTGATATGATAATTTGAAAAGTATAGATATTCGGTACAACAGGGAAGAACTGCAGAATATAATGTCATACAGATATTTTTAATATTATTAAAACATTTTGTCCATCAATGGTGGCTATCAGTAGGCTAATTTCTAATGAAGAGACCAATTTATATGACAGATTTTAATGTAGGCTTTTATACATATGTAAACATTACTTAATTACCATTATAACTAGCTATCTCACAAATTTTTGCTCACTCAGTGTTTTTTTATTTTACAGTGGGGTAATTTTGGTGCAGTAGCACGAGATAGCTTGATTACAAACTATGAATTGAATAAAAAATGACAAGTAAGCAGTCAGTAATAAAATAAGAACAAATAAAGAAATTAATAATGATAGCACAAATAAAAAACAACGACAGGCCTTCAAATTAAATTAATTGCTTTGTAGTTTTTCAGGTAGGTCTAACAGTAGGGTTAAAATATTGAACTTTTTTTTTTTTTTTTTTTTACCAATTATCCAAATAATGACTGTACTACATCGATGTTTCCTGTCGGCTCAATTTTTGAGTGGACTTTGCTGTTCCGATGAGCATGAACGGTATACGAGTGGAGCGACTGAGCGGAGCGCACACGCATAGAGCGGGATAATACGCAGAGCGTCACACCACGTGAAAGTGAAACCTTAGCGGTGAACTAATTTTCGGCAGCCGAAATTTCGGTGCATCTCTGATTATTGGCGACATCAGAAATGGATATTATATAATAGACGCTTTTTTGAACATTTTAGGAATTTAAAAATATTAAAAATATATTTTTTACACGGCACCCCTGCTCTCGACAGACGGCACCCCAGGGTGCCGCGGCACCCTGGTTGGGAAACACTGTAGTAGATTGTGTATAACAGGCCTTTCAACAACGTTTTGATCATGTTGATGATTCAGGTCTTAGAAATGTGCATTACAGTAGGCTTTATAGGGTTAATAAACACTGTATGAAATGGTCTGTAGAGGGCGCTGTCATCATTACACACATTCACATGGCTCATTCACTTGCTCCCTCGTTCCCACCCCGGTCTTTCTCTCAGTCTCGTCTCTTTGGGGTTTGACTTATCCTTCAGCCTCTCTCGGTCTCTCCACGAGCCTCTCGCTGACGGGATGAGCTGTGAGATATGGCTCACGGTTATAGTTGACCTACTTGCTCTTCATCCCTTCAAGCACTTCTCTGACCTTCGTATTCTGTCGTATGCAACCATTTGCACTCTTTACATATCATCTCAAATGAACATAGTTTGTGTAGAACCTGAAGGTAAAAGGCCATATATGGAGTGTGGATCTTTACAGTGTTTAGAGAGAGAGAAAAGCTGGTTTGCGGAGGGAGGAGATCAGGGAGTATGAGCGCGATTGCATCTGACAAATAGAAAAGGGGAAATTAATTGAACGTGCACTTTGTTCTGATCTGAAATCCTGAAATGCAACTTCCTCAATGTAGACACATGCATGAGCACGAGCAGTTTCCTCCACACTGGTGTTGGTTCTTTGTCATCACTGTCTTTAATAATCGTTTCTTTATTACAGTAGCTCTGGTCTCTGAATTTGACTGGCTGAGCAGCGTTCCAACAGCACTGGAATTTTTTGCATTTGAGGGATGCTTTTGCAAAAAAACAACAACAACAACAACCACATTTGATCAGTTTTTGCATTCCCTGGGATGTTGAACTCATGACCCTGAGTCCCTGATGTTATGAGTGCCAAGCTCTAATGTCTGAGCTACAGGAAAGACCAGTTTCATTCCCTAGATTTCGGCCTCTGAGTTTGGCCTCTGAATCAACACTGTGACACCAGATGAATGGTAAAAAAGTGTATATATTCTATATTAATTCACAAAGCTGCTATGTTGCTCGGAAACTGTAAACAGAATTAAAACTAAATTAAAATGTTAAAATATATGTTTTATTATTTTTTAATGAATAAACAATATAAATGATAAATAATGTATTGTCTATAGTAGTAATAATAAAATACATTTTATTTTTAATAATAAATAATAAATAAAATAAAACATTTTATTGTGATTTTATGGTATTAGATGGATTCATATATTTAATATACTCTTGTAGGCCGTATATATATATATATATATTTTTTTTTTTTTGCTTTGTTGCTTTTAGTATTTTGGATACAATTTTAATAATTCTTCTCATTATAATTAATAAATGAACAATAAATAGCTTAAAATATTTTATTGTGATTTTATGATGTTTTGTGGATGCAATTTTAATAATTCTTCATATTTTTAATAATAAATTAATAATCAATTAAATATTTTATTGTGCTTTTATGGTGTTAGATGGAATAATATATTTAACATACTGTGTATGACATATTTTTGTGTTTTTGCTTTTGCTCCTTTTAGTTTTATGTGGACATAATTTTAATAATTCTTTTTACCTTAATAATAATTTAACAGTTCTTTTTTATTTTAATATGAAATTAATAATAAATAAAATAAAATATTTTATTGTGCCTTTGGATGGATTCATATATTTAATATTCTGTGTAAACTGTATATTTTTGTGTTTTTACTATGCTCCTTTTTTTGTTTTGTAATTTTAATAATTGTCTATTTCTGTACATTTTGGAAGACTAAAAGATGAAAAATAACCTTTGGCTAAATCTGGTGCATTTACAGAAATGTTTATTAATGTGCACTTTCCCTGTGCACACACACACACAAAAATAAAATAAACAAATAGAAATAAATAAATAAAAATACAAAATAAAACACAACTTATAAATAGATAGAATAAATAAAATGTATCAATAAAAAAAGTGTTCAGAGTTTCTACTGTTCACATTCAATTCACCTTTGGTTGTCTCACTCTCTCTGACCAGGAAAGTTCCTCTCCTGTTTTCCAGACTCAAGAGGAGGCGCTCGGAGTCCCTGCGTGTGATCTTTCCAAAGTACCATCTGGAGAGAGATGGAGAAAGAAAGAAAGAGAGAGAGTGTATTTAGAGTAAGTAATCACATGTAACATTGTATCACAGACATGCAGTTGGCCAGAAACACAGCTTATGCTAATACACAGACAGAACTACGATCCCATTGTGCAAACATATAAGAAAGGTCTGTAAGAATATACTCACCGACGATGCATTTATTTATTAACATTTTTGAAATATTATTACAATTTAAAATAATTGATCTTACTAAGGCTGGGCGTTTTGACGATATTATCGTATATCGACGATGTCTTGCAAGTATCGCGATGTCGATAATAAAAGTCAGTTACAGACAATAATCGCCAATATCGAGAAAAAAATTACAAATATATTTAACATAGTCCCGTAGTTACCATGCACATATTTATTCACATGAAATAGCATGAATGAAATATTTTGTAGCCTATGCTAGTAGCTAATTATTAAGGAATAAAAAATCTATTCTGGAATTACTTAATTTACTTAAGGCCAGGAATCGAATAGGCCTACTCTTTATAAAACTAACAAATCTTTTTATTTTTACTTATTAATAATGTTTTTTAATTTTATTTTAATACATTCTAATTCAAATCCTATCCTGTGTTTGTATTTATTTTTGTGCACTCTCCTCACAAACACGCTCAAGGAAAAGGAAACTTGAGATGGCAGAAAGCGGAACCTGTTTTCTTTATTTTACAAAAACACAATGTTTTGTTTTTAATGTGAGTGTACGCAGATAAAATTAGACTCTTTACAGTTTATGTATTTACCATAATTTACAGAGTATTTTAAGTTGTTTTCACTGATGTAAGGAAGCAATTCAAGTGCACGCCGGCGCCTTGCGCACGCACACATAATTTCTAGCACGGCTTGACATCGCAGTCTGCTCATTATCAAAAATAAATAAAAAATAAAATACCAAATAACATTTGTAATTACTTATTTTTTCCAAATAAATAATGCAGCATTTTTTTTTTTCATTATAAGAGGCCTATAAGGACACCTCGGAGCTCTAAAAACATGAAAGAAAAAAACAACCTTTCCGTTTTTGGTCATGCAGAAGGAACCAATTTGTTTTTAAAGGGGTCATATGATGCGATTTCAATTTTTCCTTTCTCTTTGGAGTGTTACAAGCTCTTGGTGCATAAAGAAGATCTGTAAAGTTGCAAAGTCTAAAGTCTCAAATCCAAAGAGATATTCTTTATAAAAGTTAAGAGTCAACCACGCCTACCTTAAATGCCTCGTTCTAACACACCCCCACATGTGGGAAGATTTGCATAACGCCGCCCAAATGTTCACGCAAAGAAAGAAGGCGTAACTTTTATTCTCGCTGTAGTATTGTTGTTGCCGCCAACGCCATGTCGTGAAGGCGCTGTGTTTCGTTGTGAAAGCGAAACTACTTTGTTTGGTCTTCCAAAAGAGGACGACATCCGCTTCGTCATGCCTAGAGCTGATCCGTGCTGGTCGCTGAGGAAATACATCAACTTCTACGGTGCGTGTCGGCTATGTCGGTGTGGTAGGGGCGGGTCTCGAATAGACGATATTATCGGATATCGCGATATTTATTAAGGCGATTATCGATAAAATATTTTTTACATATTGCCCAGGCCTAGACCTTACTAACCCCAAACTTTTGAACAGTAGTGTACATTTAATCTATTATGAAATCAAGCTTGCGTAGCTAATAAAAATGACTATACTTTATAACAATTGTCATCTGAATTGTGCTGCATGAGATACTGAACATTGATTCAGGTTGTAATATTCCTACTCATAGTTCCAGTAGCGATAAAAGAGTGGTGTTTGGGATTCATGACCGGCGCAGTGACATTTAGTGTCTATAAATCAGCATAGTTTGTTGTTAGCCGCTCATGCGCAGCGCTCTCTCTGAGTCTTACCTTTTCTCCAGAGTCAATCTGAGATGACTGGCAAGGCAAGGGTGGAAAAATTAATCATCATAGGTTTTCAGAGGAGTGCTTGTGTGTATTTGTTTAATGCGGCAGTCGACTGAGCAACAGCTCGTGTGTGGGTCTCAGGAAAAAGGATGAGTTAGAACATGAACAGGACAGACAATAGTAGACAGGCCGCCTGAGGCAAACACTGACGTATTCTACTCATTCAAGAGGGAAAAGGTCTTTGGGCCACCAGGGCATTTTCCTTCTAACTGATGAGATGATGGAGAGACTTTATCGCAAATAATAGAGGGTGAAAGAGCAAAACCATGAAGGGAAATATAAAGGACTCAAAGGTCAGCCCGAAGCAGAGGAGGGGCGAGAACGAATCATTCTGTTAGTAACGTCACAAGGGTTGAGCATCAGTGTTATTTTAGTGTCATTGAGATACTATTATAGTTTTTAGTAATAGTCTGAATTGTTTTTTTTTTGTTTTTTTACATTTTAGTAGTTTTTATTTTTGTATATTTTCCATTTTCATTTTTATTAGTTACAGTAATTGTGTTGTGTGTTTGTCATTTTTTGTCTTTATAGATTTTATTCATTTTTATTTTGCTATTTTAGTACATCAAGTTAAATGAAATTAAACTAGCTGAAATAAATACATTTTAATAATTTTGAATAATAAATACAACAAATACAGCATCCTGCGTGATGACTCGTGAACAAATTGTTCTGTTGAGTCAGATCTTTTCAACACAGAACAAGTGACTCTCATGAGTTGGTTCTTTTTGATGAATCAGTTTTGCGACTCATGAATCAGTCAGGGCGGTTAGAAAATGAACATGTGACTGATGAACTTCACTGACTAAACTGCTGACTCATAACAAATTGAAATAAGCGGTTTCTTTCAACTGTTGTTTTGTTTAGTATAATAATCATCAATGGAGTCAATAAAGACCTAGAATCACGCTCAGCTGAATTGAGAGATCTGATTAGAGTGAGGGGAATAAAATGCAAACCAGAGGATTCACAGGGAGGAGAACAGCAAAGAAAAGGAGAGAAAGAGGAGGAGAAAGAGGATTTACTCTTCAGCCTGGATGGAATCAGACGGTGCCACGTATTTGCTGGGAATGTATCCACTCTCTCCTGTCGTCAGCGAGCGAGCCAGCCACCAGTCGCCCTCCCTAAGACGGCAGAAAACACACGCATAACACACCTGCAGTTTGACTCACATTCAAGACGTCTTTCTTAACCGCCCAAATCATACACCCTGAGATTACATCTGCGGTATCATTCCTGCTTTATAATCCATGAAATGAGCCAAGAGAATGCAGACAAAGCTGCTCTAAAGACATCAACTACCTGTGCCAAATTATGCATAAATGAAACATGCATTTAAAGGGACAGTTCACTTCACCCAAAATAAACAGTCATCGTTTACTCACCCTCACATTGTTCCAAACCCATATTACTGAATCTTACTACTGTATATATCCCGTTCCTCTCATGGAGTGCGTAACTATCATATGTATGTGTGTGCCAATATATATATATATATATATATATATATATGCATTTATTGCATATAGGCTGCATTTATTTGATCAAAAACACAGTAATATAGTGAAAGATTACATTTTTAAAATAACTGTTTTCTATTTGAGTACATTGTAAACTGTAATTTATTCCTGTGATGCAAAGCTGAATTTTCAGCATCATTACTCCAGTCTTCAATGTGTCATGATCCTTCAGAAATCATTCTAATATGATGATTTGCATAACATTTCTTATTATTATCAATGTTGAAAACAGTTGTGCTGCTTAATATTCTTGTGTAAACCTTGATTTGTTTATCCAGGATTCTTTATGAACAGATAATTCAAAAGAACATCAGCATTTATTTGAAATAGAAGTGTTTTGTAATGGATGTCTTTACTGTCACTTTTGATTAGGGTTGTAAAGGGGTCGGAAAATGTCCAGCAAAGTTACCAAAAAATCTTAGAAAGTTTGCAAAAATTATGGAAAGTTCTTTGTAAAGCCTCTTTGTAAACCTACGTTTGGTCAATTTAACGCTTCCTTGGTGAAAAGTATTAATTCCTTTTCCTAATTAAAAAATAAGTGCTATATGCCTTTATTAAGTGTGAAAGTGCAGCACAAGCATTCATCAAGATATCTCTTTTTGAGTTCTATTAAAGAAAGAAAACCATATGGGTTTGGAATGATGGATTTTTTTTCATTTTGGGTGAATTATTTACTACAAAACTGGTAGATTTATCAAAAAAATGAGTAATCTGTCTGGGTCTCTATTGTCTTGATGGGTTTTTAATAATAGATGTTGTGTTTTAGTGTGAGCTGTGGGGTGTCAGACTGTGACTCACTCCTTAAGCTAAAGTAATAAGATTCATCCATCGCCAAGACATGCTGACCTGACACAAACCTCTCCAGGTCTCTGAGCTATTGCTAGCGGTTGTTAAACGTAATTAAAACATAACTGCTCCAGTGAAAACAATGACATACAGTACATACACAGATGGGCACATTCATATTCATAGAATGCAAATATATTATTCATACACAGGGTACCATTCAAAATTCAGATGTTAATGAATTATTTATGTATGAAAAGGTATAAAAACAGTGATTCGGATAAGCAGGGTTTCTGGATATAAAAATTGTGGCTACAATTGAGCAATAATTTATGTAGAAGACACTGATGCTAATGCTAAGACTTTAACTTTATACTTCAACTCTACACATAACTTACTTATGAAAAAGTCTACTTTTACATTAAACTTTTAATACTATGAAGCACAAACTACAATATCAAATTGCATCAAAATGTCATCACTTTTCACATATCCTTTGTGTTAATTTGTGACCCTGGAGCACAAAAGCAGTATTAAGTCGCTTGGGTATATTTGTAGCAATAGCCAAAAATACATTGTATGGGTCAAAATGATAGATTTTTCTTTTATGCCAAAAATCATTAGGATATGAAGTAAAAATCATGTTCCATGAAGATATTTTGTAAATTTCCTACTGTAAATATATCAAAGCTTAATTTGTGATTAGTAATATGCATTGCTAGGAACTTAATTTGGATAACTTTAAAGGCGATTTTCTCAATATTTTGATTTTGTTTTGCAACCTCAGATTCCAGATTTTCAAATAGTTGTATCTCGGCCATAATATTGTCCTATCAACAAACCATACATCAATGGAAAGCTTATTTATTCAACTTTCAGATGATGTATAAATCTCAATTTCGAAAAAATGACACTTAATAGCCTACTGGTTTTGTGGTCCAGGGTCACATTTAGCTAAATGCTAATGCTATCTTTTGCTTTTAAGTTCATTCACTTACTCAACCCATAAAACTGACTGAATTTGATTTATTTTAAGTTATGTTCAAGTCTGTTATCTTTGAGGCCATTAGAGTATAGCTAAATATGTGCTGAGTTTTTTAATTAAGAGATTTTTGTCATGAGAACTACAGTGGCTTGTTAGCTAAACTGAAAATGCAGCCTACATTTTTACTATCTTAATAACGCTGTCTGAACATTTTTGTTTTTAAGTTTATTAATTTAAATGACCACATGAAAGCAAAACTTGACTAAACTTTAGTTAAAGTTATTAGTCCAAGCCTTTTAGCTTCAAGGGCATCTATATGCTAGTGTTCTGCTAGCATAGCACATATGTTCTAAAAATATTTACGTATACGCTTTTAGTCTTACATTTTCTGGGGTGTAAACAGATTTTTGTCCAATAAAATTGTTCTCTGGAATGAGAATGAGAACTAGCAAGTTAGCTAAAACCTATAATGTCAACATAGAAAAAAAATATTTGACATTATTTTCATTGTTAGGGCTTATCCTAATCTAGCATAGCATACAGTACAGATACAGTAGCATGAATATTAGCATGTAGCCAAAGCAAATGTAAAGGAACAGTGAATAATACACCAATGGACCAACCACAAAGTCAACATGAAGGACAAATGTAAAATTGTCGTGATTGAGCCAGTTATGAGGAGGTGTGACACTATTTCTGGACCACTTCCACAGTCTCTGGAGAGTCAGGACAAATCTCAGGTGGACAAGCAAACAATGAAATGACACACACACACACACACACACACACACACA